GAACTGAACTTTTAAAAATTTTTATATATAAAAATCCTTAAGTACATTTTTTTGCAGAATAAACAGAGTAGACTGTAATAGCATAGTATATCATATGATTTGACTCAAGCCAGCTTAAGCTGGCTCTGTCAGCTCAGCCTAAAAGCTGCAACTAAGCCAGCTCACTATAAGCTAATCCCATCCTTACTAGTCACCAAAAAGTGAGATTTATATGCTGCATACTGTAGCTGTGAGGCCTAATTAATGGGCGGGAGGGGTTGGACGATAGAACCAACCTTAACTCCAAGGCAGTAATAGCAAAAAGTAAGATAATTTCCTCTACTGACCAAAAGCTCCTTAAATACAATACGAGCTACATATTTAGAACCATATAATTGTTTTCTTGTTTTCCTTACCTATTCTCATAGTAATTCACATTTTAACAACTATATTAATAAGAAAATACTTGTATCAGTATCTAACAAGACTCTATAAGAAGTTAAATGATAAATTGAATATGTGATCTATAAAGTCATCTGATTACATAAAGTCATTTGATTTTGCAATAACTGATAATGAATGCTTTGTCACTTTGTTAACAAGCTTTTTAAAAATAAATAAATTTGTCTTTAAAATCAAAAAGAAAATTTTGTTATTTTTAAATAAACCTCTTTAATAGTCTTAAGTAAAGTTGCTTCTTATGCTTTTATTATTTAAAGATAACTAATATTTGCTAAAATTTAAATATGAATAACTCAAGAATTTCTAAACCAAATTTAATGATTTTACCAGAATGCTCAAGTTTAATGATGATTTTTCTATTTTTTATTTTGTGAAATAAAAATTTTTTTAGGTTCAGTAAATATCATATATCATATACACAAAAATTCCATGTCTCTCCTCAAAGTTTGTATTTATTAGTTGTCACATATTCACTTTTATTTTCAAAATCGAAGCAGAAAAGGTTCTTTTATTTTATTAGAGTGTATGCTGTATTTATACATTTCTCATCTAGGGGTTTCTAACTCAATCTTGGTCTTGAACCCTTATCTGGGGTTTTGAACCTATTTCTAGGGTCTAAAATCTTGATTAAAGATTTCAAGCCCAGTTTTGGGTTTCGAACCCATGTGTAGTTTATTACTATCAAAAAGAAAATTATCATAAAAGACTCGGGTCTGTTACATTCCACTGATTTTATAACCTATAATAAATCCTGGGTATAATACATATATATCATTAAAAGGAGAATTTTAAAGGTATAATACATGTATATCATTAAAAGAAGAATTTTAAAGAGCACATATATTTTTCATTTCTAATGGGCAGTTTGGATATTTGAAAAAACTGATATTTTAATATTGCAGATTCAGTAATTTGCATCCAGATATTGGGAACTTTATCCGGCCATTTACAATACATAAGAAAAAATTACGAAATTATATGCAATAAACAAAGTTTGGCATATAAAATATTCTCTAGTAATTTCTTTTTTATAATATCACATATTAACATCACACAAAATTTATACTATAATGATTACTTTTTTCAAATTTCATATGTGTTATGTGCCATTGTAATACCATACACAGAATTCTGCTTTAAGTTTTAAAGTAATTTGAAATGTATACATACATACAGTACTCTCTGATTCTAGAATCTCAATGATTCCACCATTTTTCACATCCTCTAATAATAACCAAATAGTAGATAAAAATGGCTTTTCATCAGTCAAGAAGTCAATTATTCAAAATCAAAACCACGATGATATTAACATGCACATAATTGCAGGCTATAAATGGAATCGTAAAGTGTTTAAAGTCTATTCATCGATTTTAAAAGATCAATGCAGTTATTTTAAAATGATACTGTCCAGTCAATTGATTCATAAAAACTTTGATGAAACCATTATTCTTCATAAAGAAGATATTTCTTCAGAAATCTTTCATTTAATTCTCGAGTAAGTCAAGTATTATTTTCTGGCAAGATTTCTTGAATAAAATATAATTTACAAAAGATAACACAATATTAATTTTTATAGTTATATTTATACTTATGAAGTCTCTGCTACAGTTTGTTATGATAATATCAATATTTTAGAATTTATCATAGCTGCAGATGAGATGCAACTTTCAGAATTAGTTGCCTCATTCCCTATAAAAAATTTTTTTAAATCATATACAGAATTTGCTCAGGTTATTTTTTTTAAGAGATAAGCATTTTCCGTAATAAAAATCTATACGAAGCCTTTAAATTTTTCTGAATATTTTCAAATTTTCTGAATATTTTTGAAACCTTGTTAATTTTCCGATTGTAATTTTTGCTTGATAAAAATTATAATCAGGAAATTAACAAGGTTTTGAAAATATTCAGGAAATTTGAAAATATTCAGAAAAATTTAAGGTTCATATAGATTTTTATAATGGAAAATGCTTATCTCTTAAAATATAACCCGAGCAAATTCTGAATATGATTTTAAATTTTTTTTTATAGGGATTAGAAAGTCTTCTTATTGATGCTTATTTATAGCAACCACAGTTCTCATCTGAAATTGAAACATGATTATTTTGCTTATTTACAATAAATAAAGGTGGTTTTATTTATTTACATTTCTGTTATGATGTTATGTAATATGAGACTATAGCTAAAGAAATTCTTAATCTTTAAGAACCATTTATGTCACAATTTGAATTACGTGTTGAAGATGAAGTCTGTGAATCTTTTGAGAAAATTATTTTTAGAAATACTGATACTAAAATTGTATATTAAATGCTAATTTATTTTTATCTGGAAAGTTAAATTACTGATAAATTATTTAGGAACCAAAGACCTACATTAATGCATTGCTTGAAGTATTGCTTGAAATACAGAATAAATATAAATTAATAATTAGCTACTTCTGAGATGAAATTAATTTCAATGAACCAGTGAATAAAGTAAATATATAATATTGGTTGATGAACATGTATTGCATAATAATGGAGCTGAAATTTGGGATCTCGATTTTAAAATGTAATCCTACTAAAATTTACATACACTCTTTAATTCTAATCCTAAATCCTAACCCAACTATAAAAAGCACCCAAAAAAGTTAACATTTTATATCAAAATAAGGATAAAATTTTAGCATCAGTTAATTTTAACATTTGTCATAAAATTTATTGACAATGATATCTTTATTTTATCAGGCATTCAGAAATCCCATCAATCACAACCATGTTTATAAGTCCTTAACAAATAGATGTGCAAGATTAATAGCTAGGTTTTGTAATTTTTTGCTTAGAAAAAGTCTGAAGAAATTGATTTTGAAAATGTCGTAAGTAATATTTAAATACATGTTATATTTCAAATTTGTATATTTCACACAATTTAAATTTTTTTTAGATGACCATATTTAGATTTGTAGAAGATAAAGATTATTTTCAAAAATACTATACAAAGAAGTTGGCAAAACATTTGATAAATGAGATATCAGTATTAGATGATGCAAAACATAATATAATCTCTAAGCTAAAAGTTGGTTACAATAACATACTGTATATGTATGAACCTTAAATTTAATTAATATTAACTGTTAAATTATTATAGAAAGAATGTGATTCTGAATATACGTCAAAATTAAGTCGAATACTTACTGACATAAGCAAAAGTAAAGATCTTAGTAATGAGTTTAATGAGTACTATTCTACAAAAGTTGACAATCAAGAAAACTGCTATAAATTATTCAAAACTACATTGTGATGTGTTTTCTTTTAAATTTTAAATAAGCTGACTTGCATGTTTGTACTTTTTA